CATCCCCAGTCTAGTTTTCTTAAGTGAGACTAGACAAGATGTAGTGAGAATGGAAAAGCTGAAGTGGAGATTGGGATTAAAAGGTTTCCATGGAGTGAGTTCGGACGGAAGAAGCGGTGGCTTAGGCCTCTTTTGGGATGAAGCCCTGAACGTGACTGTCTTGGACTCTTGTAGCCGCTATATTGATGTTCTTATTGATGATGTGGGAGGTGGATCCTCGTGGAGAGGAACTTTTGTGTATGGAGAGCCTAGAACGGAGAATAGACACTTAATGTGGGATCACCTGGCTCGGCTGAGAGCAAGCTCGCAGGATCCATGGTTGGTTTGTGGCGATTTCAATGAAGCAATGTGGCAGCATGAGCATCTTTCCAGGACGCTGAGATCAGAAACGCAAATGCTAGCCTTCAGGGACTGCTTGCTGTTATGTGAACTTGAAGATCTGGGATTTTCAGGCATTCCTTACACATACAATAATGGACATGAAGGAAATCGTAATGTGCAAGTAAGACTGGATCGCGCTTGTGCGGATGAGGCGTGGCGTGACCTTTTCCCTTATACACAGGTGGTCCATCTAGCAACACCGTGCTCTGACCATAGCCCAGCCCTAATCCGTATGGGAGGGGTTCAGATGGCAAAGCAACATGAACAAGCACCATGTTATGAAATTATATGGGAAAGACACCCGGCTCTGGCAGAGGTGGTGTCGCGATCATGGGCTGGAAATCCTCAACTAGGCGATCTGGGTTCGGTCGCCGAAGCTCTGAAAAAGCTCATGAAGGATCTAAAGGCATTGAGTAGGGCAAATTTTGGCAACGTATTAAAGGAGATTGAGGCCTTGCGAGGTCAGCTAGCGAAGTTACAGTTGGATGGGGCCGATCGTTCTCAAATTTGGCTCAAGATGAACCAACTTGATGAACTCCTCTACCGGGAGGAGATGATGTGGCTCCAAAGGTCACGGATCACGTGGCTTAAGGAGGGGGAACGTAATACTAAATATCTCCATCGCCGGGCAGTGTGGAGGGCGCGGAGGAATTATATCCAACGCCTACGTAGAGCAGATGGGACTTGGTGTAATGCACCAACTGATATGGAGAGAAAGGCATCCTCATATTTTCAGGAAGTCTACACTAAGGATCCTACCCTTGATTATTCTGCGGTTTTGGACTGTATTCTTCCAAAGGTCAACCAAGAAATGAACATGGCTCTTGATGCTCCATATTCAGAAGTGGAGATCTCAGATGCGTTATTCCAAATCGGGCCACTAAAAGCCCCGGGTGTTGATGGCTTTCCGGCCCGGTTTTACCAGAGAAACTGGAATGATTTAAAAAAGGACATCATTGGTGCAGTGCAAAAATTCTTTGTGAGTGGTACTATGCCCGAGGGAGTCAATGAAACGGCAATCGTGTTGATCCCGAAGATTCAGCACCCACAAGAATTGAAAGATTTTTGCCCAATCAGTCTGTGCAATGTGGTTTATAAAATTGTTTCGAAGTGTATGGTGAATAGGTTGAGACCCCTACTGGGGGAGTTGATATCTGAAAATCATAGTGCTTTCGTTCCTGAGAGACTTATCACAGACAATTCAATAATTGCTTTTGAATGCATACATCATATTCAGTCTCTAAAGGAAAATGACCCTGCTTTTTGTGCCTACAAGGTCGATCTATCTAAAGCATATGACCGAGTCGATTGGGTGTTTTTGGAGAAGGCCTTACACAAATGGGATTTTTCACCTGCTTGGATTGCCCGGGTTATGGCCTGCGTCTCCTCGGTAACATATTCGATGAAGTTCAATGGCAAGATCTTAGAGTCTTTCACCCCGTCGAGAGGGCTACGATAAGGTGACCCGTTGTCCCCCTTCCTTTTCCTGTTCATTGCTGATGCATTCCCGGTTTTGTTAAATAAAGAGATGAATGAGGATGGTCTTAGAGGGGTGAAGATTTGTAGAAGGGCCCGGAGATCTCTCATCTACTATTTGCAGATGATTCACTTTTGTTTTTTGAAGCTTCAGAACAGCAGGCACACATGGTGAAAGGTTTGTTGAACACCTATGCGCTGGCCACGGGCTAGTTAATTAATCCAGCAAAGTGTTCCATCCTTTTCTCAGAATCCTGCTTACCTGCGGTGGTGGATGAAGTGAAGACAATTCTGGAAATTGAACAAGAGGTGTTTGAGCCTAAATACCTTGGTTTGCCGGTGTCGGAAGGTAGAATGAATAAGGGAAAATTTGAAACGGTACAAGATAGATTAAGGAAGAGATTGATTGACTGGAGCGAACAGTATATGTCATCTGGTAATAAGGAAATCCTGATAAAATCAGTTGCCCAGGCGATCCCAGCTTATGTCATGAGTGTCTTTAAGCTCTCAGTTTTAGTGTGTGACGAGTTAACCCGGCTTATGCGTCAGTACTGGTGGGGTGTTGAGAAAGGAAAAAAATAAGATGGCGTGGCTCAGTTGGGATAAAATGAGGTTACCAAAGTCAATGGGTGGTATGGGATTTAGAGATATGAGAGCGTTTAACCAGGCGCTTCTTGCTAAGCAAGCCTGGCGTCTCATTGATACTCCGGGAAGTCTATGTGCCAGATTGTTGAAGTCCAAGTACTTTCCCTTAGGCAACCTTTTAGATACGGTTTTCCCTAACCAGGGGTCGGCAGTCTGGAAGGGTATATTACATGGCCTCGAGTTACTAAAGACAGGAGTTATTTGGCGAGTGGGTAATGGTTCAAATATAAGAACCTGGAGGGATCCATGGATACCGAGAGCATCTTCGTCCAGACCTATAACTCCAAAGCGAACGTCCCGACTAAATCGTGTCTCTGACTTTTTGGACGGGAGTGGTGCATGGAGGATGGATAGGTTGTCACAGCATTTTTGGCAAATGGATGTTGATCACATTCTGAAAATAAGAATGTCCCCGAGGCAACGTGATGATTTTATCTCATGGTTCCCGGAGAAGAATGGAAGGTTTTCAGTAAAGAGTGCCTATAAATTGGCTACAAGTGCTCATGATGCTGCCTACGCAGGGGGGTCATCTTCAGATGTACCAAACGGCACGAGGTCAATCTGGAACTATGTTTGGAAAGCATCAGTGCCACAGAAGATGAAGATATCGGTTTGGAAAGTGGTGGTCGGGGCCTTGCCGACGGCAGCATGCAAGAAGTACAGACATGTTTCTAAGCGGTCTACTTGCCCGCTATGTGGTGTGGAGAAGGAGAATGAGTTCCATGCCTTAATCACGTGCTATCATGCACGTACCCTGTGGACACACATGCGGGAAAGGTGGCCTCTCCCTTCAGATAATATATTGATTAATACTGGCAAGGAGTGGCTCCTGAATTTGCTCATGCAATGTTCGGATCAGGTTCGTGACATGGTGATCATGCTGCTCTGGAGGATATGGCAGCTGCGGAATGACTGCGCACATGGCAAGGAGGTGCCAGCAGCGGCGGCAACAGTGGAGTATCTGGATAGTTATTACAAATCCATGTGGCTCGCTAGTCGCTTTACCACGGAAGAAATAATAAAAGGTAAAATGCTGGTCTCGGAGCAGAAGACCGACACTCAAATCAAACAACCAGCGCCACCATGGCCGGCTCCTAAGACGGGGACCGTCGCGCTCTCTGTTGATGGGTCCTTCCGACAGGGAGATGGGTCAGCAGCAACCGGAATCGTGTTGAGAGATGGATCAGGTACGATGTTACTAGCGGCTTATCGTTACATGTTTAATTGTAATGATGCATTGGAGGCGGAGATCCATGCTATCATGCAGGGTATGGCCTTGGCTATTCAACACACAGTTCTTCCGGTGGTGGTACAGTCGGACTCGGCGACTGCTCTTTCAGTATTGACGAATGATGATCTCACCAAATCAGCATATGGGCATTTGATACTGGAGATTAAAGACTTGATGAAGGAAAGGGAGTTTTTACCTCGGAAATTACATCGTAGTCAGAATAGTGTTGCAGATCGGTTGGCAAACTATAGCCGCACCGAGAGAACCACGGCTGTCCAAGGCGGCAACACGCACCACACACACTTGAGACTTGACACGGAGACTGCCGGGCGGGCCCCACCGGATCTTCTCGACCCTGGCGCCGCGTGCCGCGCCGTGGCCAGTGACGTCCTCCTCCGCCTCTTCTCTCTCTCTCTCTCTCTCCACCCTCCACGCCCAAATCCGCACCAAATCGAGCGCCGCCACATCCCTCCTCCGGCGGCACGCACGCAGGCGGCGCTGCTCGACCGACTCGCAGGTCAGGTGCAGTCCGGTCCATCCTCCCGCGCGGCTGCTTCGATCAAATACGTACTCGATCGATCGGTCCGTGATTGATTATTTCAGTTGCGTTCGCTTGATCGGAGGTCTCCGTCCTTCGTTTTCTGGGTGGGCATTGCGAGTGATTTTCCTTTTTGTTCGCCGCCGTGGATCGGGCGCTTCGTTGCGTTTGTTGCTGCCGATGCGTCTGAGATCACCTTCTGATCCTGCGCTTTGGTTCCGATTGCGATCGAGTTCTTCCAATTTCTCAAACCACGGGTGCAATGCAGCGATCGTGGGCGGTTACGGATGCTACCAGCAGTTCGTGTGCTGCAGTAGCGATTTATTTATGGGATTTTCGTCCAATATACTTGTGACATTCCGATCCATTTGGCTTCGCTGCAGGTGCAGGGACCCGCCGCCGCCGCCGCAATGCAGGAAGCTCCCCTCCACCCGGCCCACCCCGTGCCCTTCGGCCCCAGACTGCCGGCCTTCCGCGATCGCCGCCTCTGCCCCCCCACCGCCGGCGGGCCCTTCTTCTACGGCGGCTGCACCCCCTTCGTCCCGAGCCCCAGGCCGTCCCCGCTCGGGCGCGGCAGCCCCCCCTTCACCCCGAGCCCCAGGTCCTCGTCGCCCGGCACCCCCTGGTCCTCCTCGGCCTCTTCCTCCTCCGGCTCCCGCGTCGACGCGGCGGCCACGGAGCATGGCCTGCGCATGGCCCGCCTCGCGCTGCAGTACCAGGACTTCGCCAACCGCTACCAGCTCTGCCTCTCCCACCTCGCCGACGCCGCGCGCGAGGCCGCCGCCATCCGCCACGACAACTCCGGCCTCCGCCTCGCCAACAACGTCCTCGCCAGCCGCTTCGCCGTGCTCGGCGGCAACCAGGCCTCAGCCGTCGCGCTGGCCGAGCAGCTCCACCGCCTCCGCCTCGGGCAGATGCAGGCGCAGGCAGTGCCCGCTCCCCCGGTGCTGCCCATGCCCATGGCGCCGCGCCTCGCCTCCTCGGCCGAGAAGCTGCGCCCCCTCCACCCCGGGCAGATGCAGGCGCAGGTCGTGCCGGCTCCCCCGCCGATGCCCAGGGCGCGGCCCGCCTCCCCGGCCGAGAAGCACGCGGCGATGCCCAAGAGCATCTCCATCCGCTCCAACGGCTACCTGAAGATGGACAGGAACGGCAAGCATCGCGTGACGGCGCCGGTGAACGTCGGCTCGGTGAGATCATCGAAACCCAACCCCTCCATTCCTGCAACCCAATCCCGCGGCTCTGTGCCAATCCAGTCCATGACGCTCACGTGTTCGAGCATTTGCTTGTGTCGATGCAATGCGAGCAGCAGCGCGTGTTCGTGGGCGTGGACGGCGCCAAGGCGGAGGAGCACCAGGGCCGCGGCGGGGAGAAGGGCGGTCAGGTCGCCACGGCTGCCGACGGGCTGCAGTTCGAGGTGTACAGCCAGGGCATGTTCAAGACGGAGCTGTGCAACAAGTGGGAGGAGACCGGGGCGTGCCCGTACGGCGACCAGTGCCAGTTCGCGCACGGCATCGCAGAGCTCCGCCCCATCATCCGCCACCCGCGCTACAAGACCCAGGTCTGCCGCATGGTCATCGGCGGCGCCATCTGCCCCTACGGCCACCGCTGCCACTTCCGCCACTCCATCACCCCCGCTGACTACATCCCCCTCCTCCACCCCTGATCGCTACACATGGCACTGCTCCATCGCCGACGGCCACTCACTCTGCTCGCTTCATTCCCTCACTCCTTCCTCCCCCTTCATAAACTATACATATGCCACATTGGAAAACAAACCAAAAACACCAAAATGGGAGACGTAAATAAGGCAAACTTTGATTTAGATGCACAGAAGCAAACGGCACTTGAGTCAAGAGAGTTAGGACATGCAGGAAAAAATGTGAATATTTGAGCTGCTTATTGGTGGGTTACTTTACATTGGGATTGATCTGGGATTCTGGATCATCAGAGAGGTAAATTATGTGTTGGGGGGTTGTTTCTTACATGGTCTGTTATATAGCCAATCGGTTACATTTACATGATCTTTGTTTCTTAGTTAATTTTCAAGAGGAATTTATGGACGTAGCCTTGTCAACAAATCTGTTAGTATTTGAGTACACCATTGGTGTTATTTTGATACTGTCTTGTGGAAGGAAGTTCAGGCTACTTGAGACTTCAGTTATATTGTATTTCTGGACAATTGGAGAAATGAGTTACTCCTATATGATTTTTGAAGGATGTCGAGCATAGATGCCAATGATATGATTTGCCTATAGTTTCTGTGGGTTACATGGGGGGTTGATCTGGGATTCTGGATCATCGGATAGGTCAATTTATATGTTGGGGGGGTTCTTTCTTACATGGTTTTGCTATATAGCCATTGGTTACAGTTACACGAACTTGCTCCTTGGTCGCATTTTGAGAGGAAATTAGTTGCGTAGTGTTGTAACTAAATCTGAGTATATCATTGGTGTGATTTTGGTACTGTCTTCTGGAAGGAATTTCAGGCTATTTCAGACTTCAGTTGTATTGTTTTTCTAGACAGTTGGAGAAATGAGTTTGGAGTATATGATTTTTAAGGAGCATGTCAAGCATAGATACTAGTGATATAATTTGCCTATAGTTTCTGTGGCTCTGTTTTCTCCTCATCTTTAAGCTTGATGTTCCAGTTCCTAACTGCAGTCTGTCGGTCTAGCACTGCATTGTCTAGGTTTTTAAGGGAGCTGGCGGTCAATTACTTCACTGCTTGAGATCTTGTGTCTGTTCCGTAAACGATGAGTAATGATGGATGTGTGACTTTGTTTACTTAGAATTGCCACACATACGATGAAATCTTGTCCGATTTTGTTACGACGATGCATTGAACCGTGAATATGTGCTAATCAACGGTAGCTATGCTATGTCATATCAAAATCATACATAATGCGTTGTACATGAAGCAGCGCTCTTGTTCCTAGTTGCCTTTCTAGTGTAGATTACTACTGAAGTAGAGCCGCAACTGGACGTGTTACCTGCAGATTTTTTAGTTGCCTTTCCATATTGTTTGTTTGTAGTCTCTATTGGTCTGCTCTGTCTACAACTTTAGCCTTGATGTAACTGCATTATCGGTGTAGCGATGTAACCAAATCTGTTATACTTCAGTACATCATTGCGGTTGTTAATTGGCTACCGTCTTCTTGGAAGTGCAGTCGACTTCAGACTTTGGTTGTATCGTTTTCCTGAACAGTCGGAGAAATGACTCGTATGATTTTTTGAGGAACATGTCCAGCATGGATGCCAATGATATGGCTTGTGTATAGTTTCTGTTGCTCTTTTTTCTCCGGGCCATTAAGCCTGTTGTTCCAGTTGGAGCGGTCTGTCGGACAAGGGCTCGACTGCTTGAGATCTCGTGTTTGTTTCTTAAACAGTGATTAACGACGAATGCTCCACTTTGTTTCGTAGTTGCAGTCTGTCAGCCTAGCACCAAAAATGATTGTTCGGTGGCTGGGGATTTATCTGCGTTCTAACGATGCGAGACAATGAGTTATTAGATCTTGCTGCCTCATAGACATTGAGAAATGCCTGATGGATGGGCAAGTCTTACTCTGAATTGCTTTTGCAACCTGGGTCTTTGTGGACTGCTTTGGTTGATCCGTTCAAGTGCAAGTACTGAATGATAAAATTGGTTTACATTTAGCTCTTTGAGCGGTTATCTATGGGTTACAGTACATTGTGTCGATCTGGGATTCTGGACCATCAGATAGGTGAAATTGTATGTTTGGTGGGGTTATTTGTTACATAGCCATTAGTTACATACATGATCTTGTTATAGTTTCTTAGTTGCCTTCTGAGAGGGAATTGTTGCTTTAACTCTTTTTTTCTTCAAAAAGAAGGGTCGACATCCGGCCTCTGCATTCGACGATGCACACAGTCAAACAATTATTGCTCTGACTGAATATGTTGTGTGCATATATCATTGAAGTGTATATAGGTGACTTCGGACTTCAATTGTACGTACTGTTTTCATCCTGGAAGATTGAAGAAATGAGTTGCAGTTTTTGAGGAAGCTAGATGCCATATTGTTAATTCATTTATACTATTTATTTAATCTCCCAGCTGCAGTCTGTCGGTCTAGCATTGCAATGGTTGGTTACTTAGCCTGGGTTTACAAATTACAAGGAACCTAGTGTATCTAGTGTTATGTACCTGACGGAGAATGACTTGATATTGTATCTAGTGTAGTTTCATGGGCAGACTGATGATGGATGTTGCGAGCGTTCATTGTTTCTGCACCCTACGTACGTATCAAGATCAAGACTCTGTTTGCCGACAGACTAACCGCAGCGTCTCCTGTTTTGTTTCTCTGGTTGAGAGTAGTCTGAAATCGCCGTGGCGGCAAGTTTGGGTGGGCTATATTGCACTGCACTGGGTATGCACATTCAAGTCATGCACGGACAGCAGCATTTCCAGTGTCCAATTCCATCCACCTCCTACAAAGAACACAGCTGACTTAGATTTCCTGAGAATAGCGCTGTAATTTCCTTTTTTTGTACAGGCAGTGTTCTTTGGACGACTGCTCACTCTTATGTACATTTCTAATCTTAAATGAAAAGGCAGAGCACCTGCCGTTCGAGTCAAAAAAAGCAAAGAACACAGCCACACCACCAGACTCAATTACTCTACATGGAGAACTCATCTCTGCAGCAAAATTTACCACACTTGTGTTAAGATCTGCGCACCTTCACAACTCAGGATCAGCATCAACCTTCGTCTTGTTAGTGTTTGAGCATGTGTAGATGAGATAGCTGCAAACGACGCTTCATCGAACACAGGCACAATTAGAGCGACGTGAGAAGCAAGTGGGTCATCTTGGCATGGGGTTGCTTACTACTATCACTGGCCAATGCTTAGCAATGTCTGTGGGTTGGACGGTGGTCTATTGCATCTTTTCATGGACTGCATCCGACGTAGCAATGTATTGGAGTGCATTGTAAGACCTTCTTTGGTTTACAGGAATCTTATAGGAATTTCATAGGATAGGATTTCTATAGAAAAAATTCATTTAGAGCCCTTTGGTTTGTTTGAATGGAATCTTATTCCTATAGAGGAATTTTTCCTATCCTCTACATTTCATAGAAAAATAAATATTAGACTAAACTGAATGGAAAAAATCCTATGATGTGAATCAAAGGGCATCTCCTTTCCTATTCCTACTCATAGGATTTGAGAGTAATCTCATTTCTTATGACTTTCCTATTTCTACGATTTTCCTACCCTATAAACCAAATGAGGCCTAAATTTGTTTTGTGTTTTAGGCACCCACACATTTTAGTCGAGTGTTCTGCCTTTGCTACAAGTAAAAAATAAAAACAGCAGTGAAATAACAACAGTAGGAAAACATTGAGAATAATCTAGTAAAGGTGGGAAAATATTTTTAAAAAAATGCTACTACAAGTAAGCACTTCCTTGCTTATTCCAAAAGTGATTTTTACCTAGCACACGTGTCACTAAAAAGACAAAACACGAATTGCAGATGAAGCTTATTCATTTCAGCGGTGGACTTGGGCCGGATTCGATGGTGTAGCTGCCCAGCTGCCCAGGCCGTTCCCCCACTCCTAGTCGCCTGCACCTACAGGGGGAGAGTATCAGGTGATACGGAGCCTTAGATGCTCCCATGATACGAGCTCTTCCGGAAGGCTTTCAACATTTTTCATAAAACACCTTTTGAAGTCTAGAAATTGCGAACAAGTACATCAACCTTTCAGAACCTACTTAGAGCCGTTGGATCTGAGATCCGACGGACCAAAAGCTCGTATCATGGGAGCATCTAAGTCATGGTATCACCTCGTATCATGGCACCTACAGTCCGCAGTAGGCCTTGAGCTTGTCGTCATGGCGAGCACCCTCCTCGGAGACGCAGAAGCGAACGAACTCGTCGTAGTCGTAGTCCCTGAAGCGGCGAGGGTGGCCGCCGGCCTCGTCCACGAGCTCGTCGCGCACCCGGATCGTCGGCTCGCCGGGGACGGAGAAGAGGATGGCCGAGTACCTCGTCGCGTCCCCGCCCACGCTTATCCGGTGGAACGGCGCGTGCACACGGTCGTTGGACCACGCCTGCATGCATGCGCAATCCAAGCTCAGAGGTTAGTTAGTTTGTGCTGGTATGGTCGACGGAGTGCAGTGTGCTGGACACTTTGTCGTACCCGGAGAGCGTTGCCGGCCATGACGACGAGCGACGCCGGCGAGGACGGCCGGACGAGGATCCATCGGCCGTCCCTGGCCTGCATCTCCAGCCCGTCGACCTCGTGCTGGCACACCACGCTCAGCGAGTTGGTGTCCTGGTGCGACCCGTACCGCACCTCCCTTGCCTTCTCGTCGGCGGTCGGCGCCCCGTACTCTGACATCCGGAACAGGTGCCAGAAGGGCGCGCTCTGGGTCTGGGCCTCGTCGACGGCCACCCCGAGCGCCTCCATGACCATCCGCCGCACCGCCCCCTCCAGCTCCGCCATCCGCGCCGCCGCCCCGTGGACAGTCTCGCTGCCGTCGGCGCGCCAGAGCAAGAGTAAATTAATCCGTAGATCTCTGAGCGTGAGCTTCCGGCCGGCGAACCTTTTAACCAACCAATTCACGCCGCCGGGGATGACATGTACTTACCAGAAGGCGGCGTTGTCGGCGGCGGGGAACAAGAGGTCGGCGAAGGCCTGGACG